TCAATAATATTTCATGGAATAACTTTGGTCGAGGCCAAAACAAAATAAACAAAACAACAAAACAAATGCTGTACTTGGACTTCGACATACTAGAAATTGGTTAAATCAAAATATGCTTAATATATATATGTAGGAAGTATAGTGGGTATAGTACAGAGACTGATTTTGTAGTTAGGAATAATAATTAATTCGTTTACACGAATTAATTATCCAACGAGTCGAGGATAAACTAGTAACGGAATACGACAAGCGCACCGTTTCACGTCAGAGCCAAGACTGTCTTAACGGCGGCAGCGCCGTCCGTTTTATACAAGCTAAACGGGCGCCACCGCAGGTGCAATGGTACAGGTCTGCGGAGCACGTGTTATTTACAAGAATTCTGTCTAGCTACACCGACGCCGCCGCACGTGCAATGGTGCACGTGCCGTCACGGCCATACTGACATGCATGCGTCCTCGCACGCGCTCCATCACAATCTTAGTTATCTGTAGACAGAAAAACATCGTTCGATTCTCCTGACAAAACAGCGTCTGGTCCGGTCTATATTGACCCTTCAGACTCGGGTGACAGTCAGTTTTGTTCCGGCAGTAAGCCCTACAAAACTTTAATCATCTTTATGTTAGATCGGAATGATTAGTCTGTAGCTTTTTCTATTTTCTCTTTTTTTTTCAAGTACTGTTTTCGCTAGTCCGGAATCACTATTCCCTATAGCTATATCACTGGACCGGCACAAAGCCCTGCAATGATAGTAAGAACTATTCTTTTATCTTAATCTCTTTTTTTTCAGTACTATTTATGCTAGTCCGGAATCACTATTCCCTGTAGCTATATCATTGGACCGGCAAACGCCCTGCAATGATAGTAATAACCACATTCTTTTTTCTTACTCTCTTTTTTTTTAATTCAGTATAGAACAGTTACAGACCAACCATACCGCAAACATGTCCCCGTCACAATCACACAAAAGTGTATCGTGAGGGACGTAGTGACACGATAACACCTAAGTATGTAAACCAACAGCAACACGACACATATCCCAGTGCAGCACAGACCAGCCTCCCTGCAACTTCATGTTCCTTTCCTGCACTAGAATAATTACTTCGCTAGAGTGTTGCAACGTCTCTAGTATTTTCTCATAGATTACCTCCTAATTTTTATTAAATATACTACTAAATTTTATTACCTCCTTTAGGAGGTAATCTATGTATTTTCTAGATGCACAGACACGGCTACCTCTGACTGTCGCACGTCCTCGTGCGGTTGACAGTGAACAGCATACGGTCTATCATTTATCACCACCTGCTAACAGATATTAACTCTTGTTAAATATTACAACGGTCGGCCATCTCAGACTTCATTTAAGTCATGAACGCGCCGATATGGCTACCTCCAGGCAAACGCACTACAGCTTTTCGTTCTGCTGCGTTCGTGCCACATTCGCGCCAGCAAGTCGTCGCGCCGTACTAGCGCTAGCAAATCATCGCACTGCTTTGCAAAATTAAAAGAAATCTAGATAAATGTATTGCGAACCATGGAATTCCGAGCTTCCAAAATTCATCACATATTCTCTTAAGAAACGGCAACTGTACGACATTTGAAAACATTGCAAAAAACGGAAACTATGTGTAGATGTAGAGACGGATACCATCACATATTTCAAAGGGAAGGAGGCAACTGCGCAAAATCTACGAAAGCCGACCAAGTCTCAGACGTTCATATAAAGCACCAAAGGACCATGTATTCGGCGGCCGCTTGAATTGCCTTGCCGTAAGATCTGCCGATAAGTTGCAGACTGTAGCGGTGTAGGCTCAATCTTACTAGCGCTCGGCCGTACCTGACCATGTTCGATTAGCCATCACAACGTCTTCCTCATTGATCATTGTTGTACAGACTTCTTACGAATCCCTTGACATCAAACCCCAATCTTGTCAACGACACAATATTCGGAGCAAACTGCAACACTGATCAACACATTAGAACACAAAAATGTCACTTATTATTTTCAATTCATAGCGTGTTAAAGTTAATCCTTTATTGTAGTACAACCCTTAAACGTTTTGAACTTCAAAATATAGCAAATGATAATCATGTTTCGCGTGAACTATCAAATTACAACAAAACTTGAACAAGTTAATTAGAAAGCCTCCAACATTTCTTTTGACATTTGTTAACATATTTAGGTACGTCATGAAATAATGAAAATACTTGCGGGTACTTTTAATACAAATCAAACAAATTAAAAAAATTTTGCTTAAATAATTTCACTTTATCTTTTCTCTACACTTTAATGATACGACATATACATACGATATATACATACATATACATACGATATATACATACATATATGCTATTCACTATCACCCAGCGGAGACTACCTATTGAACAAACTATCCAAGTTCAAATGCACATCTGTCTGAAAGGGCATTCTTGTCAATGTAATATACTAAACAGAACTAAAACCATACGTTGTCTTGGTGTTTTGATAGAATAAAATCTTACTTGGAATCCACATATAAAGGATGTAACAGAAAAAACAAGAAAGTTAATCTTCGTCTTCAAAAAACTGCGATACGTGGCTGATAGTACTACTTTAAAATGGTTTACAGCAGGGGTTGAAAGCGGTAAAGGTATAAGGGTATGGTACCGGTATAGCATTACGATACAGCTTCGATGTAAAGGTAGAACCAAAACGGTTGATTATTACAGTTGTGGTACCGTTAAAAAATAATTATAAATTTATTTTTTACGGTATCGTTATACCTATATATTACTTAATACCTTTATCGAAAAAAATTCTGTAACGAAAAAAATGATGCGATGAAGGCGGCAGCGGCTTACTTATATGGCGCTTGATACAACAGCCGTGTCACAATATATTTGTTCGCTGCCACAGCTCTAAGGTCCGCCTCATACATACGGAATTCCGTTTAAGGATTCCGTTTCGGAATTCCGAACGGGTCGGCCACACACATACGGAATCCCGTTTTGCCCGCAAAATTTCGAACGGAAAACTACCGTACGTGTGTGGCGGGTCATAGATTTTACATGGACTTGCTGCGTTCGGGATTCCGAATTGGAATATCGAAACGGAATCCCGAAACGGAATTCCGTATGTATGTGGCCGGCCTCAGAGTCGGAATCCCGAACGCAGCAAGTCCATATAAAATCTATAACCCGCCACACACGTACGGTATTTTTCCGTACGGAATTTTTCCGATTCGAGATTCCGTATGACCGCCTGTGCGTTCGGACTCCCGAACGGAAAAAAGCCGCTCCGAACGCAAGTCTTCCATAGATTTTGTACAAGTCGCAACACACACATACGTAAATTCCGTACGGAACGCGCTCACGCTCAGTGTTTGTCGCACGACCGAAGCGAGTAGGTGTTTATGTATGTTTTTACTTTTAATCTTATAGATGTAGAGCTTTTCGTAACCATTCATCTTATTTTATTTAATAACTAGCTGTTCTCCGCGACTTCGCCCGCGTGTAATTTAGGGTTTTAATTATGTTGCGCGGAACCCTAATTCTTTTTCTAAAATATAAGTAGCCTAAGTTATTCCTTATAACATCAGCGAAATCAGTCCAGCCGTTTCGGAGATTAGCCGGAACAAACAGACAGACATACAGACAGACCGACAGACGGACAGACATCGAAAGAATTTACAGACATCCATTTTTAAAAAATATCTTCTTTTTTTTAGGAGAGGGGGCAAACAAGCATGTGGCTCACCTGATGGTAAGGACTACCGCCGCCCATGAACAACTGCAACACCAGGGAGGGAATTGCAGATGCGTTGCCGGCCTTTTAAAAAGGAGTACGCTCTTTTCTTGAAGGTCACTAAGTCGTATCGGTCCGGAAAAATCGCTGATGGTAATCGATTCCACAAGGAAGTCGTGCGAGGAAGAAAACATCTTCTAAATCGCACAGTGGTGGACCGCCAATCATCCAGATGGTGTGGATGGTATCGGGAGTTCAGCCGCGATGTGCGTTCGTGAAATTAGGCGGCTGGGATTAATCCGAACAATTCCTCAGAGAACTCCCCATGGTAGATGCGAAAGAAAATGCAAAGGGATGCAACATCTCTTCGCAGTGCCAATGAATCGAGCCGATCGGAAAGGGCTCGGTCGTCGACGATTCGAGCCGCTCTGCGCTGGATGCGGTCAAGTGGAAGTAGCTGGCACTGGGGAGCCCCTGCCCAGAGATGGGAACAGTATTCCATGTGAGGCCGAACCTGCGCCTTGTAAAGTTGCAGACGGTGTGCCGGCATGAAATACTGTTAAACGCGAGCAACCCGGGTTCGATTCCCGCCGACACCAATGAAATTGTCAGTTTGATGAATTATGTTTACATTATTAAATAGAATAAAAGTACTTATATCAAACGATATCTATTTACTAAAATATTTTTTTTCCTTCCAGAGCGATCGCGTAGATTTCGACTTGCGCAGATTTGAATATACGCTCTTAAGTAGGTACTCGTAAGTGCATATGGATCTAAAATAAACTGCAACCAACATGGTTTTAGGTGCATATGTGTACGTCCAGCAGTGAACTTTTACGGGCTGTTAAAGAAAGAAAGAACTGTTTATTTGATACACACTCATAAAAAAATGTTATACAAACGCAAGGGACTAAAATATGCACGCATGTCTTAGACTGCTTACGCATTAACAAAAAAGAAGCAGTACGTACACGTGCAATTAATCTAATATATTAAAAAATAATATTTATTTCTTCGTATTTTATGCGCTGCCATACCGTTCATCAGATTGCGCTAAAAAACTTTGTCAAATTATTGCTTACACTTACGTGAAGGTTAAAATTATACACGCATCTGTCTTAGACTACTTACGCATTAACCAAAAAGAAGCAGTACATGCATGCGTAATTAATTTAATATATAAAAATTAATATTTGTTTGTTCGTATTTTATGCGATGCCATACCGTTCATCAGATTGCACTAAAACTTTGTCAAATTATTGCTTACACTTACACCATAGCTGGACCCGTTAGGTGGCGCTGTTGTAGAATCGAGATATCACCCGTGCAAAGCCGGGACCGGTTGCTAGTTAAAATAAAACAAAAAAATTAAAATTAAAATGCGACATCAAATAGGTCACTGCAAGGGCAGCGCTGTTGGTTCGGCATCACTTCACATCTATCGTCTTAGTCTGAATTTATTAAAATATAATTATGCTTCATTTACATTAGATCTAATATTTTGAATGTTTCATAGGGTCACTGGCATTTTCCTTTTCTAACGGCAGAGACTGAGGAGAAAGACTTCCATGGGATGTTTAAACAGTGGTAGAGCCACGCGGCAGCTTTTGCTGTCGCACGGATGGGCCGGCTCGAACCGGGGTGGTACCACGACCTCACAGAAAACCAGCGTGAAGTAGAGGTTTACCTCTGCGTTTCGCTTGGTGAGTGCAGGTGGCCGGAGGCCCTTTTTACTGGAAATGAGGCATTCCCTCTTAGTCCTCACGGGTGACAACGCATCTACATTTTGATTTATAATAGAGGATAGATGTAGATGTCTATGGGCCGCAGCAACCACTTATCATCAGGTGGACTGTGTGCTCGTTTGTCACCCTTATTCTATAAAAAAAAAACGTGAATAGGTCACTGGTCGTTATGAAACCTATGATGCAATGACAGGATTCCCTCATCTACAATGAGGGCAGCGAATTCGAGGTAACAATTAGAATGTTTTTTAACCCCTGACGTTGTGCCGTAACCGAATGGTTACTTACTTGTCAAAGTTATAGATCCCGCCAAAGAGTATAGTAATGAGTAATATAGAGAAGAGAACCCTTAGAACAATAGACAATACAAATTTGACCCAACATATGTATGGCCGAAAATGAACAGATCTTGAGATATGTAATGATGAGAGCTCAGGTCTTAATGAGAAAACGTGTTGTTCGATGACTGAGTAATTTATTAATGTCTCCTTTACTACTACAAGACAGTTTTATTAGGTAATCAACTTAGGTACTTACACCACTATACTACACGCCTATCGGCTGAAAAGAAAAAAAGGGATAAACAAAATTCCTTTTTTTTAACTAACTTAAAATACGAGTATTAAAAAAAATGAAATAAAAATTAAAAATAGACATCGAAAAAAAATTATTTCTTTTATATGAAAATGACAAAACATTTTTTATTTATTTATATAAGTTTTACTAACAAAAATAGTAGATATGTTTTTTAAAACATTTTTTTTACTTAACCGGTTCGGTGCGGATGACACGCCATCGATTACTTTTGTGTGTGGCGTATGACACATGAGTTGTCTTTTTTAAAATCGTTAGAATTCACTCAAATTGCGTTTTTGGAAAATTTATCCAGAACAAAATATTCATAAAACCCACAAAGTAAAAATAGTACCATGTACACGTTAAAAAAAGGTTGTCAACCCCTAAAAATTTCAAATTTTCAATATATCCAGAAACGAAGCTGCATGCATGAACTAGTCGCAAAATAATGAATATTTTGTTCTGGATAAATTTTCCAAAAATGCAATTTGAGAGAATTATAACGATTTTTAAAAAGACACGACTCGCGTGTCATACGCCACACACAAAATCATCGATGGCACGCCTGGCGTGTCACCCGCACTGAACCGGTTAAGTACTAACATTTCTTTTCCTTTGTAGTCTATTTTTAAATGTGGGTCACAATTTTCAAGAACTTTAAATGGTCCTATGTACAGAGAGAGGATCGAGTTTGTTTATATTTTGTTCGTTTCTTAGTAGTATCAAATTACCAACATTGTATGTAACAAGATTGGCATAGCTATCATGTTTGTGTTTTCTTATTATTTTACTTTTTAATAAATTTTGTCTAGCGTCATATTGCGATTTTTGTAATCTATATATAAGTTGTTTAGGATAGTCGTAATCATTATATGTATAAGGGATCTATCACGGTCGTTAAATTATTGGGTAAATTGCAAGGTTTTCCGAAAATGAGTTCGAACGGCGTTTATTTAGTTTCTGTGTGTACTGTCGTCGTAAAACTCCAGTAGAGTAACCAATTTTGTGTGTCATTATTAGTTTGGATTCGCAAATATGAAATAAGATTTTATGTGCATTTTCTAGACTGTCTATTGATTGGTGGTGGTATGCTGTTGATGTTAATTGCTTGATTTAATTTGTCGGGGTATCCCGCACCTTAGGACAAAATTATTAACAAACACAGAAATTACTGAAATAATGTCTTTATTTTAAAGAGGATAAGCCTCTATATATCTTTACACTGAACACTGTAGTGAGTATATACGAATTATTATCTATATTATTAAAGTATGAATATATTTTCTGCTGAACTATACTTGGGGTGGAAAGGTGGAACAACAATCAAAGAGTGAATTCCGAGTAGGTACCCACCCTAGGGTGGATAAACGGAATAACCCATAAAAATTATCTTCATTTATCACGACAACAGCATAAGTACTAATTCCACTAGTTAGGTACTTATACAAATACAATCAAACATTTGCTTAGTTTAAATACTAAAAACTAATTTTAACCGTTTATCAAACAAAGAATGTAGGTACATTTGTTAAAATATCCATACATTATCACGTGGTATCAAAATTAAGTATCCAGAAAATTTTTAATAATTATTAATGTTGATAACTACTAAACCTACCTGCAAGTGGAAGGAAGAAGGAACTAAAAAACTTTTTCTTGACTTGGATTTTCGTTTTTGCAGATAATTACCAAATACTACTTATAAAACTTTCTGAACTCACAAATCAAACGCATGGATGTTTCTAGTTAGTTCGTGCCACAGAACACTATAAAGCTGAGAACAAATTATCGGACGCGTCCGTCAGCCGCGGCTGACAGTCGCGGCTTAGCGGTGTGCACGGTAGTTAAGACGGCGTCTTCTGACGCCTCACTTCAGTCATTCTATAAAGGTGTTTCAATCGAGAAACACGACAAGCAGCGACAGCGAGGATGAATTTATAGAGCTAGCAGCAGCTGCCTTATGTTGTTTTCCAAAAAAAAAAAAGTGAAAAGGAGTGTTTGGGTCCATGATATTAATGTAAAACGACTCGAGTATGATGAATTTCATACATTGTATCCAGACTTACAAAAAGATGATAAACGTTACAAAATGTACTTAAGAATTAATGAAAACCAATTTCATTTTCTGCTTAGTCTGATTGAAAATGATGTTTAATTCAGCAGCAATTAGCTCCCACACTTCCTGTTTTAAAGTAGCATTTATGTGGCCACGAACACATTCAATTAAATTTTCTTCGTCTGACATGTCGCGAGCACGGTCGGTTCGTTTGTGACGCTCGAAACGTCCGCGGACGCGTCCCGTGGCCTGTGCACACCGTCCGAGGACGCACGAATATCCAGCCGGCTAGATTCTGTTCGGACGTCTGAACGCTCAAGGACGACCCAAGGGCACGTCCGCGTCTTACGACCGATAGTTTGCACAGTGTAGTATTAAATGTACTGGCTAGATTCAAATAAGCCGACTGGCTGACGGACGCGTCCGATAATTTGTTCTCAGCTTTACTCCTACGGAGGTTCGTGCAAAAACGGTGCAAATGCAAAGCTGCAAATCAAAGTCACTCAATAGCATTTGGTCGGGACTTCCGGTCCGGATATATACCGTCAGTGTGACCAGATTTCATTTGACGAATCTACTGCTTGTGGAGGTTAAAAGCTACTGAATTCTACCAAAAGAGAACGAGAAAATACTAAAAATCTATTATATTTTTTGCTGTCGTGTTACAACGTAAAATCATGAATGTTTTCTTGATTAAACGATAAAATAATAAAAATAACAAAGAAACCACTATTAATTAAAGAAAACAATGTTTTTTTTATTAAATTGTAAATAAAAATATAATTAAAAAATAATAACAAAATGAAACTTAAAGTTAAGATTTTTCGTCTTTATGTTGCGTAACATTGTCATAAAACTGTTTTGAGTCCATTAACTTAATCATACTTCGGTCAGGACCAAATCTGCTACATCCTCCTTCCAACTATCGTAGCCCCTCTTTTCCATGCATTTTTGGAACAACATTCTTATTATTAAATCGGTTTCGATCTTGATTTTTAATCCTATTAATATCGGAAAATATTCTTTCTACTTTGGCGTTCGACAAAGGTAATATCGTCATTTGCTTCACAAATCGGGACAAATTGCCCTACTTTGCTTTGCTATTCGCATCACAGATTTGGCTTACTTCACCATAAAAATTACAGACGTCGACCTAGAAGTTGAGAATCAATTTGACACGGAAACATCTAATTTCAACTCCCTATACTCATTGTTAACAATTTGCATGTTTTCTGTTGCAACTAAGTTAGGAAATCATTGGAGTATTCTTATCAGAGTTCGAAATTCACCATACACTGCTTTTTGGGGATCGATGAATGACAAATCCTGCAAAAATTATCTCGTACAGGCAGTCTTTGCAGAAATTCGTTACTCAATGCGATCAAAAATGATTGACATCTGTTAAGGAATTCTTCAATTTTGGATCTCATTCGAACATCATCTTTTAATGATTCCATTGTCACTGCTACGTTTGTGCCCAGGTACATTTTTGTATAGGAAGGAAATGTATTCTTGAACTTGACTGAAGCGGAGTAGTTTTTATATAATTTATCTTCATAAAGCAACTCAAAATGGAACTCATCATGTTTTGTATGTCTGTTTCAATTTTATGAATAAGTGTCTGATCACTTTGAAAAATAACGTTAAATTTTGTAGTTATGGGTGATATAAAATCTAAAAAGTAAAGATGCGATGAGACAAGACAGTATTGTCTCATCGCATCTTTACTTTTTAGATTGTTTTTTTTTACTGATTGATTCTTTACTTTACATTTATAGATGTTAAGGTGATCAAATATAAACTGACAAGTAGCATTTGCATTCTTATTCCCAAAATTTACTATACAACTATGTGTGTTTAACACTTAGTTGTATAGTAATTGTTATAAAAATGCGTTGATA